TGCAATGAGAAGGGGTAAAGTTCAGTCACAGGCTCACTACAGCAGTGGAAACAACCCTGTAGATCTCTTCTAGAGCTCGTTGTTTGGCAGCCAGGGGACTTCAATCATTATTTATTCACTGTGAAGCAAAGAAACCCACCATTCTCTTCCCAGCTCTATTGACCACCATTCCTTGCAGCAACCTCTCAAAATCCATCCTCCCAATATCACATCCATTTTGCAGCCTATTTGCTATAAAAACACTTTTGGCCTGCAGGTTATTTGCAGGTAGGAATGCCAGGTCTTTTTTTTTTTTTAAGTGTGGGGACATAATTTTTTACAATGGTGAAGTTCCGCTATCACTTAGGATTTGAATTACTATCTTTAGCAAGAATTGATATCGGCACCAGCCCTGTCTGTGGGAAGTTGCATAAAGAAATGCTACCATGGCAAAGGTGTGGGTGATAATGACTCCGAACATTTATCTTCCCCATAGGACATGGGGAGGAGCCATAGCTCAGCGTTAGAACATGTCCTTAGCATGCAGAAGGTCCCAGGTTCAATCCCCAGCATCTCCAGTTAAAAGGATCAGTTAAGAGGTGATGTGAAAGACCTCTTCCTAGGACCCTGGAGATCAACTACCAGCCTGAGCAGACAAGACTGGCCTTGATAGACCAAGATGGCTACACAGTATGCCAACATTTTCATCGTGAATCTAGAACAGCATTTTCTGAACTCCTACCCATTGGCACCTCTCCTTTATTTGAGATTTATTGATGACTAGGAAAAAGGCCCATTGTGGAAATAAATACAACAAGATCTAGAAAGAGTCTCTGGGTGGGTGCCCCAGCCTTGAACACTCAGTGTCAATTTGCTGTGGCAACCTCAGCAGGGTATAATGACACTGAGTCCACCATTTTCTCCAGAGGAACTGATCTCTGCTACCTAAAGAACAGTTGTAATTTTGAGTGATCTCCAGCCCTCACCTGGAGATTGGCAACAATGGTTCCCCAGAAGGGAATGGTTGGTTTGGAGGGTGGAGTCTATGGCTTTGTACGTGTCCGAGGTCCCACGCCTCCTGAAACCTCACCCTCTCCAGGCTCCATCCCTCACATCTCCAGGAATTTCCCACCTGGAGTTGGCAACCCTATCTCCTTCCCAGCCAATCATCAACCCACCTTTATTTCCCCCTCAATCTTCAGCTTTCCACCCCCCACACACCTGCAGCCCCTCCCGTGCTCGGAAGCCCTGACTGCTACGTCACATTGGCTGTCATACGGGGGCTACCTCAGCAGCATATAAGAATACAGAGCCACCATTTTCTCCAGGGGAACTGATCTCTGCCATCTGGAAAGCAGTTGTAATTCTGAGTGATCTCCAGCCCTCACCTGGAGATTGAACACATTTTACCTCAGAACAGCAAAACTGTTTAGAATGTTAGAGGCAAAAGCCAATCAAGTCGCATATGCAAACGACCTCTGTGTTCCTAGGCAAAGGCCAATCAAGTCGCATATGCAAATGACCTCTGTGTTCCGAGGCAAACGCCAATGAGGCTGCATATGCAAATAACCTCTGTGTCCTGACTGGCTATGGGGGGGAGAGGAACAGCAAACTGTTTAGAATGTTGGAGGCATGACTCAAGCAATGCAGCCAGTGGATAGGGACAGATTCTGAGTGACACACCAGGGCACCAACCAATTCCGGAGCGTGTGGAATGTTCTAGAGAAGTGCCACCACCATTTGGCTTTTATATATAAGGGAGATATTTTTATTGTCTAGACTCATGGCAAAGAAACCCTCGAGAGGATTCACCAGGCTTCCCACAACTTCCACCCCACCATCAATCTAACTATGAATTACTCTGCACAAGAAATAAACTTCCTGGACACCACAGTATGGATACACAAGGGACACATAAGTACCACATTATACCAGAAACCGACAGATCAGCAAACATATCTACATGCCTCCAATCCATTGTGTATAGCCAAGCCCTACACTAGTTGCATCTGCTCCATCCCCTCAGACAGAGATACGCACTTGAAGGATCTGCAACAGGCATTTTTACAACTACAGTATCCTCCTGAGATGGTGAGAAACATGATTGGAAAGGCCAGAATGATACCCAGGGTCAACTTGCTACAAGACAAGCTCAAAGAAAATGACAACAGAACACCACTGGTGGTCACCTACAGCTCACAACTCAAGCCAGTTCAACTCATTATTAAGGACCTACAGCCCACGCTTGATGGTGTCACTTCCCTCACACAGGCACTGGGGGACCGGCCCTATCTTGCTTACAGACAGCCTGCTAACCTAAAACAACTTCTTACCCACAATGATAAACTATTTAACACTCACATGGACTCTGGTACCAAGGCCTGCACAGGGCCGGACAGAGGGTTTTTTGCACCCTAGGTGGGGCTACCTTCTGACGCCCCCCGCACGTTGCCAACCTCCAGGTGGGATTTGGAGAGAACTTAGTCCACCTTCTCTCCCTCTTTAGAGGCTCCAAAGTTGCCTCAGCTCTGCCCAGGGCTGGAGGGAGCTCGGCCTGCCGTCAACTGCCAGGGCGGCTGCAGGTGAGCCGGGCAGAGGAGCACACTAAGAGTGGCATGGGGACAAGGCCAGGCCGCTTCCAGGTGCCTTGCGGCCACGAGCGCCCTCCCTCCGGCCGGCTGGGGCTCCCATGCCCAGCAGCAGCAGCGAGGAGGAGGAGGAAGGGGCCCCTCGTCAAGAGGGGACCCGCGGGTGGGGTGGGGAGATGGCGGCACCAGCATTCGGGCTTTCCCCTCCCTCTCCCAACTTACCCGGCAAACTTGGATGGTCGGGCTGGGAGAATAGCAAAGAGCTCAGGGGCACCAATGTCGTGCAGCCTGCTGCTCCTCTGGCCAAGTCTCTTCCCTCTCCCCCGCACTTTCGCTCTCTGTTTGTGTGTGTGTGTGGTTGCGGGGGGAGGGCAGGGAAGCGTAGGGGAGGGCAGGGAGTGTGTGTGTGTTGGGGCCATGTTTTGCTGCCCCTCCTTCCTCCCTCCCTCCTCCTTCCCTCCCTGCTTCCCTCCCTCCCTCACCAGCGCAGAGAGAGAGAGAGTGCGAGAGGGGCGGGCGGACAGAGACAAGGGCCTCGATCCCCACTGCCTTTCCTTTTTCTCTTGCCGGGAGGGGGGCTCAGCCCCCGAGCACTTCTCACCTCCACTCGTTCGCTCGCTGGCCAGCACCTCCTCCTCCTGCATCGGGGCCCGGCAGGGAAGCCATGGTTCAGGGCTTTTTGGCGCCCCTAAGGGCCGGCCCAGGCTCTAGGCGAATGCCTAGTTCGCCTAGCGGGTGAGCCGGCCCTGGGCCTGCAACAAACCAAGATGCCAACTTTGCTCTCATACAGATCTTAGCAACACCATCAATGGACCCAGCAACATCAGCCATATCATTTCAGGTTCATACTCCTGCTCGCCCTCTGATGTGATTTATGCCATCATGTGTCAGCAAGACCCTTTCTCCTTCTATATTGGACAAACAGGCCAGTCCCTTCAACAAAGAATTAATGGACATAAGTCTGACATCAGAAACCACAACATTCAAAAACAACTGGGGGAACATTTTAACCTTCCAGGACATTCAGTTGCTGACCTAATAGTAGCAGTTATCTTACAAAGGAATTTCAAAGGGAGATTAGAGAGACTGATGAATTGCAATTGATAATGAAGCTCAAGACATGCATCCAGCTGGATTGAATCAAGATGTAGGTTTCCTGTCTCATTACTAGTGCTGATTTCTCCATGTCTATTACCCCTCTGTATATCTCACCTAATCCAATAACTCCTGCTATTGTCAATTACCTGCTAATGTCATTTGGCAAATAGAAATCATTCCACTTTCCAATATATAGGACAGATGGACTAGCTGTATCTGAAGAAGTGAGCAGTGACTCATGAAAGCTCATACCCTACCACAAATTTTGTTAGTTTGTAAGGTGCTCCTGGACTCTTACTCTTTCCTACTTGATGGAACAAGGTGTATATATGCACCTTGTTCCTCAAGTAGAAAAAATTAATAGGAGTACAAAAAGCTGGAGAAAGGGATATGGAGAAAAGTAATTATATAAAATTATTTAGATTTATAAATATCTAACATAAAAATAAATAAATAAATATAAAATTATGTATAGTGTATCTAACAAACATCGAATATTCTCTGAAGTACTTCACTTTTCAACTCCCTTGTTATACGTTTTAACATAACAGTTATGTTTATAGTTAAATCAAAGATGGAGAGAAAGATACAATTACATGAAAGTAAAATAATGTTTAAATCTATTCCAATATTCACATATACACCCCAAATATAAAAAGATTGTGATAGAGTAAAACTACTAATAATATAATAATCCTAATAGATACTAAGTAATGATTTCCGGATATGTAATATTTAATTTTAACATAACATTAACTGTGTTTTATTATGTATCATGTCAAAAAAGGAATAAATCAGAATCACGCAGACTGTACTAATATGGAAGCATGCTTTGATGGGTTTAGAATTGGATTGGAATGCAGATGACCTCTAGTTTCCAGAACACCTTCCTATAAAGAAGAGGGTAAAACAACGTGTAGGTTGAAGCAACATATGCATTAATCATACTTTTAATTCTGACATACGAAGATTTAATCAATGAAATAGGGGTTGCGTGTCATGTTTTATGGAATAATGATATCCTGAATTAATAAAACATTATCTCTGTTCATCCAGGAAAGAGAAGCATTTGGCCACTCACTCTGTGGTCTAGTGAACTGGCTTTTTGATTATTTATTCCTGCCCTTATGGCTATGAATCTCTGGCATGTCAGAAATAACAGAGAATAGACTAGTGACCATAGGGTGCTAGGTGTGGTGTGCATCCAAGTAGATCATAAAATTGACTCACTGATACAACCTTGTGGGATTCTTCTGGGATTCTGGGTCCCTGTGAATACCTCCATTGCTGTCTGAATCCCGGTGGACTTCTGCTTTGGCCCGTACAACAAGCTGGGTACCCCCTCCTGGCCTGACCGGTAGGTTTGAAGCAGTCTGAATTCCCAAGCACTCTGCAGCACCTGCCACTTTCATTTGGACCTCTTCATAAGATGGCAGGCTTTTTTCATAGATTGCAGCTTCATTCTGGGTGGTGTAAGAAGTTTGGGAACTGTGCCAAGACAGAAGAAAGTGGGATGCTGTTTCGTCAAGTTTGTTATCGTTTTGCATTAACAAGGAACAAGAATTTTCTAATTAGACTAGAAATTCCAGGCATTTTCAGAACACCCAGCCAATTTTCTAGTCAGTTTGACTCCTGCAGTTTGACGGTTTAATAAGCTTGCACGGCCTGTTGCAAGAGTTTAGGGGAGAGGCCATGGCTCAGTGGCAGAGGATCTGCTTAGTATGCAGAAGATCCCAGGTTCAATCCCTGGCATCTCCAGTTACAAGGACTAGACAGTATGTAGGGTTGCCAGGTCCCTCCTGGCCACCAGCAGGGGGAGTAGGGTTGACAGATTCAGGATGAGAAAATCTTGGAGATTTGAGAATGG